GCATCGGCAGCGGACGAGAAGGCGAGAAAGCTGCGTCAGGCAGGTCTGAAACAGCGGACAGCCAGTGGCAAGGGCCCTTCAACCATTGCGAACAAGACTATCATGTCCAAGACTGCTTTGGTAGCAGCATCTCAAGCAAAGCAAGCCCACGACGATCCCAACAACACAGCCGTTCAACCTCAGCCTAAGCGCCATGAGGAACTTTCGGCAACAATCGAGGGCATCCGTGTTGTCCTCATTGGCGATGTCCACGAACTTCCAATCTTGGACCTGGGTATCAAGAACTTCACCGCCACAGCTGAAGACTGGTCTTCGAACCTCAAGGCTGAAACTGCGATCGATATTTATACGAACGTGTACAACTTTGCAAAGTCCGCGTGGGAGCCTCTGCTAGAGCCTTGGCAGGTCGGATTCGGCATTGCGAGAGAGCAGCAGTCAGGTCTTTTGTCCATTGATGTCGCTTCCAAGAAGATCTTTGATGTCACGATCACGACAGCTACCATTGCTTTGGCGTCCAAGTCCTTTGCTTTCCTTAGCAAGGACGAGGATGTTCTCGGCAAACCGCGTGGTGTTGATGCCCCTTACCGCATCCGGAACTATACCGGATTCGACGTTGTCGTACAGTCAAAGAGCATGACCACGGACGACAACATGACCGCTCGTCTCGAGGACGGGCAGGAAGTCCCTTGGAGCTTCGAGCCGTGGGAGAAGATGCGAGAGAACCTATCGACCGAGAGTAGTACCGGTAGTGTCGGTATTCACTTGGAAGGTAGTGGCTTTGACCCAGTCAAGAACGTCAGATTGAACCGTGAGGGTGAAGCGATCTACGGCCTCAAGCCGAAGACTGACAACATTTTGCACCGACTTCTCGTCGAGGTCACCTTGGGCAAGGACAATGTCAAATATGTCACTCTACGATCGCCCCTCGTGGTTGACAACCTTACCCAGATCCCAGTCGAGCTTGGTGTCTACGACGCGCAAGAGGGTCATCTGCTCAAGATTGAGAAGATCGCTCCCGGCGAAAGCCGCCCGGCTCCTGTGGGCGCCGTATTCCTGAAGTCTCTGCTGGTACGACCAGACTCCGGATTTGGCTATGCCTGGTCCTCTGAGACCTTGTGGTGGAGAGACCTCTTGAAGCGACCAACACGGACGATGGTTTGCAAGGGGGAGAACGGGGACCCATTCTACTTCCAGCTCAACGCCACCTTTGATCGGTCGAATCCTTTGACCAAGTAAGTCTGCCATCATCTTATCATGAGCCTTGACTAATCTCTCTCATGTAGAAACTATCCTTACATGCGCATCAAGCTGTCACCTCCAGTCATCCTCGAGAACTTGCTTCCCTACGATTTCAAGTATCGCATTTACGACAAGAACACCAAAAAGGACTGGGCAAACTTCCTCCGCAAAGGTGGCCTGAGCCCCGTACATGTCGTAGAGCTATCACACCTGCTCCTCCTCAGTGTTGACATGCAGGACACTGTCTTCAAGCCCAGCGACTTTGCCATCATCAACTCTGGGGCTTCGGACGACTTCAAAAAGGAAGACAGGCTGCTCTGCAAGGACGAGGAAGGCTTGCAGCTCAACCTCAAGCTCCACTATCACAAGATCCCTGACAGTGGCGGTGCTTTCCGAGTCACGGTCTACAGTCCCTACATTATCCTGAACAAGACTGGTCTTGACCTACAGATCAGGGCCAAGGGCTTCTTGCAGGGCGCTCGACCAGCAGCCGGACAGTCGACTCTGTCCTCTAGGTCTGGCAACAACCGTCCCAGAGCTACTCCATTCATGTTCTCCTACGGCAACGACGACCATAGAAACCGAGCTCTGCTGCAGATTGCGGATTCGGAATGGAGCAAGCCGCAGAGTTTTGACGCCATCGGTAGCACAACCGAGGTGGTGCTGCCCTCGCCCTCCAGGAACACTGAGGTGCACATCGGCATCACCACTGAGGCTGGAGAAGGCAAATACAAGATGACCAAGGTTGTCACCCTCGCACCGCGATTCGTTCTGGAAAACAAACTTGGAGAGGAGATCAACGTACGAGAGTCTAGCTCGTCCGGGTTCATGACGCTGAAGCCCGGCGCCCATGAGCCACTTCACTTCATGCAGAAGACTTCCATCAAGCAACTTTCGTTGTGTCATCCCGGAATGAACAACCAGTGGACCTCTCCTTTCAACATCTCGGACATCGGAACAACTCACGTCAAGATCGCCAAAGCAGGCCAACGCCAACGTCTGATTCGCGCAGAGATCTTGATGGAAGGTGCAACCATCTTCCTGCACCTCAGCTTGGAGACCAAGAACTGGCCCTACCAGATGCGGAACGAGAGTGACACAGAGTTCACATTCTATCAGGCCAACCCTAGCCTGGATGATGATGGAGTTGAAGACAGATCCGGCTGGAGGCCAATCAAGTATAGGCTGCCGCCTAGGAGCATCATGCCATACGCATGGGATTTCCCGGCGGCCAAGTTCCGTGAGATTATCATCAACGCCCATGGTAAGGAGAGGCATGTCAAGCTTGCGGAAATCGGCAACCAAATTCCAATGAAGTTTGCGACAACATCCGGACAACAGAAGATTATCGACATCAATGTTGCCGCTGACGGACCTACCCAGACTATGATTCTGTCCAACTTCCGGCAATCCAAGAGCCTGTATCGACAGAAGTCCAAGTCTGGATCTCGCACGAGCACCGATGGCTTTGAAGTCAAAGATCAAGAGACAACTGCAACCTTCCGCGCTCAGCTCAAGCTTTCGGGCATTGGAATTTCGCTCATCAACTCTCAATTGAAGGAACTTGCATACGTCACATTCAGAGACGTCTCTCTCCGTTACCACGATTCTCCTCTGCACCAGACCATCGCCCTATCTGTCAAGTGGATTCAAATCGACAACCAGCTGTACGGTGGTCTGTTCCCGATGATCTTGTACCCGAGTGTCGTTCCGAAGAGGGCCCAGGAGGTTGATGCACATCCCTCGCTTCACGCCATGGTCACTCGCGTGAAGGACGATTCTTACGGAGTGCTGTACATCAAATATGCCACACTTTTGATGCAGCAGATGACTATCGAGCTCGATGAGGACTTTGTTTACGCTGTCTTGGATTTCTCCAATATTCCTGGGGCCGCTTGGTCAGACACCAATGAGGAAGGCAAGCTCTGTGACGAGGAGCTGGACATCCCGGAGCCCCAGCGGCAGCAATCTGGCCAAGACATTTACTTCGAGCTGCTCAACATCCAGCCTATGCAACTCGATCTCTCCTTTATGCGCACGGAACGAGTCAATGCAGAGGACAAGACGTCGTCCCGAAACCCTCTTATGTTCTTCCTTAATGTCATGACGATGGCCATCGGTAACATCAACGACGCGCCGATTCGTCTCAATGCACTCATGCTTGACAATGTCCGCGTGTCCGTGGCTGCCCTGACACAAAATATCACGAGTCACTACAGTCAAGAAGTGCTCTACCAGGTTCACAAGATCCTCGGGTCTGCCGACTTCCTCGGAAATCCCGTGGGCTTGTTCAACAACATTAGCTCCGGCCTCACAGATGTGTTCTACGAACCCTACCAAGGCCTCATTCTTTCGGACAAGCCCGAGGACTTTGGTATAGGAGTTGCGAAGGGAGCTGCGTCACTTGTCAAGAAGTCTGTCTACGGCTTCACCGATTCCTTCTCCAAATTCACAGGGAGCTTGTCAAAGGGCCTTGCAGCTGCAACTCTCGACAAGCAATTCCAAGATCGTCGTCGCATTACGCGTGCGCGTAATCGGCCCAAACATGCTCTGTATGGTGTTACCACTGGCGCCAACTCTTTCTTCACAAGTGCCGCTTCAGGCGTGGGCGGACTCGTCCGCAAACCGTTGGAGGGTGCCGAACAGGAGGGAGCCGTTGGGTTCTTCAAGGGAATCGGAAAGGGTGTTGTCGGATTCGCTACCAAGCCCGCTATTGGCGTTCTAGACATGGCCTCGAATGTTTCGGAAGGCATCCGCAACACGACCACCGTCTTTGACGGCTCAGAGCTCGATCGCGTCCGTCCTGCTCGATTCGTACCGTCTGACGGTATCGTGCGACCATATAATGCCCGGGAAGCCCTTGGCCAGTCATGGTTGAAGCAGGTCGACAATGGCAAGTATTTCAACGAAAATTACATTGCCCATCTCGAACTGCCACGCGAGGACATGGTTGTCATGGTCACTTACGCTCGGATTCTGCTTATTCGCAGCCGGCGACTGACCTCGGAATGGGATGTGCCCCTGAAGGACGTCCAGACAATTGCCAAGGAGCGCACCGGTCTGAGCCTGACGCTGAGAGGAGGCACGAACGGTCCCTTCCTGCCTGTTGGCGACGAAAGTGGCCGCGCCTTTTTGTACAAGATGGTGGCTGTGGCTGTGGAGGAGTTCAACCGCCGGTTCAGGGGACTTGAGTAAGGTGGAAGGAGAGTGGTGTGGGACTGTGGCTGGGTAACAGGCAAAGGCTGGTGCGAATACATGAGGGGAGGTCCTTTTGCGCTGTTTCACGATTACTTCTTCACTTCCTTTTGAGGCCTGCAAGCATAGCCTCGCGATTTCATTAGCAATTACATACTTATACTTTACCTTGTCTTGTGGTAGCATATTTGGACCCCTCGCCGCTTTCCTACCCATGCCTCGCCAGATTCCAGAACATTTGTGAACTCACGGCTTCTGGTAAAATATACAAGCAGAATCCCACCCTCCCTGGTGACAAGTTCACGTTCGGATTTATACTTTCGTCATAGCAAGTGCAACAAGTAAGACGGAAAGAAATTGTAAAGGAATGTGAGTGTATTATCTTTTGAGTGACCAAATCGACCAACATGCGCTATAATACTAAAATCAAAAAAGAACAGACGCCGTAATGCTATGCTCAAACTCTATCGTGTAATGCCATCTAAACCAAGTTCCATCCTAGCATGCCCCTTCGAACAACACTCTTCGGTTTATTTATGCCCAAGTACTTGTCAACAACCAATCCCTTAGTTGGAAGGACAGTAGCCGATCGTGCAAGCATCAGACTTGCAGCACCCGCGGAACCCATTGGCGCACGACTGGAAGAAGCCGGTACCGGGGGCGCAGACGGTCGGGTCCGTGTTGGAGTGGGAGTTGGTCTTGGGGGTCGGGGTGGCGGTCGTCTGAGGGGCCGTCTTGGTTACCGTCTCAAAGGTCTTGACGTCCGGGCAGTAGCCGATGGTGCAGGCGTCCTGTTTGCAGCAGCCGCGGAAGCCGTTGGCGCAAGATTGGAAGAAGCCGGTGCCGGGGGCGCAGACGGTGGGGTCGGCGGCGCGCTTCGAGGAGGCGATGGTCAGATCGGGGCAGTAGCCGAGAGTGCAGGCGTCGGACTTGCAGCAGCCTCGGAAGCCGTTGGAACAAGATTGGAAGAAGCCGGTGCCGGGGGCACAAACGGTAGGATCCTGACGCTTCTCGGAGGCTGAGGTAGTAGTAGTAGTAGGACAGTAACCGAGAGTGCAAGCGTCAGACTTGCAGCATCCTCGGAAGCCATTGGAGCAAGACTGGAAGAAACCGGTGCCGGGAGCGCAAACAGTCGGGTCTTGACGCTTCACAGAGGCAGAGGGGCAATAGCCAACGGTGCAGGCGTCCTCCTTGCAACATCCACGGAAGCCGTTCGAGCAGGACTGGAAGAACCCGGTGCCGGCAGGGCAAACGGTGGGGTCGGCGGATTGCTGGTTGGCCGAGTGGCCGGGAGTGACGGGGGTGGTCTCGGCCGGAGCGTTGGCGGAGGCTCCGGTCACGTCGGGGCAGTAGCCGATGGTGCAGGCGTCGGCCTTGCAGCAGCCGCGGAAGCCATTGGCACAGGACTGGAAGAAGCCAGTCCCCGGTGCGCAGACTGTGTCGTCGCGCTTGGTGTCGAGGGCAGGGCTTGCCGAGGCAAGAGTTGCGACAGCAGCGAGGAAAGTGAGGACGATGGAAGAATGCATTGTTGGTTAGGTGTGGTGGATTTGAGTTCAGATTAAGCAAAAGTTGACGGCTGTGAAAGTGGTGAAGTGAAGACTTGAGGGTTAAGCGATTGTCCCAAGGAAAGAGAAACCGACAAAGGAAATAAGGAAATAGGAAAGAAAAAGGAGGAAAAGAAAATTGTTGAGCTGTGTAGATGAGCTAGCTGTTCAAAGTGGTTGATGATGAGAAAAAATAGAGGGAATATCGGAGGGGGAATCACATTGGATTTATAGACATCAAACAACAACAACTTCGAGATACACATCACTTGCTCAGAAACCATTCTCATCATTTCCGCTCCGATTAGCCTATACCTTACTATAGCCGGCTGTGCTGCCCAGAGGGATCTCGCGAAGCGGCTGCAGCTAGATAGAAAACCAGCCATTGTCGTGACCAAAGTGTGCCCTTCATCCCATGCCGGAATGGGTGTAAATCAAGCAGCACGTTGGAAGTCTGCTGCGCATACGCACCGCACCGCCTTCTAAACTCCCGAAGCTAGGGGCATGCGGCCCTACGGAATAAAGTATGGTATAGGCTATGGAGACGGGCATCTGCATCCCATGCATCCGGGTCTCTAGAATCCTTCTTCTTCTTCTTCCCCCGGACTCGGGCCTTTCCGAGCAAATGAGAGAGCTGAGTATGCAACATGCAGAGCCTGGTGGTAGGCAGAGTACAACCGTCAGCCCCGTAAAACAAACGCGATAGGCGTGCGTCGCAGGGCTGAGCTGCAACCTGAGTCTCTGCTGAGCGTCTTGGGGCTGAGAGACGAGTCGGCGACCAGGACGCTTCGAGTCAAGGCGAAGGCCGCCGGGACGTGAGCCAAAGGAATCCCGGAGGCGGCGGCGCAGTTCCAGCTGTCAGACGCCAGAGGGCTGGGTCTCACAGACAGTCTCACTTGGACCTCCGGCCCTCGTGGTTGGTCCCATTCCTTCTGCTGACATGCCGCCCATTTTGCGCTGCAGTGGTAAGCTTATTCTTGGCTCACGGGATGTTGAGGGGTCGTGCATATCGAGATGTGAGATCTTAGAGGCTAGTGGTACGGATAGATGGATGGGAAAGGAGACGAGAAGAGAGAAATGGTAATAGCTTGGCATGGTGGAGTGCTCATTTGGCAGCCACGCAGCTTCTTCACCACATGTGCAAAGTACGAGGTATGTACGGATACCAGTCTTAGGAACAGCGGACTCCGCGTTGCAGATGTTTCCACAGTCCAGTGACTGACTGTGTCGAGGTCACGATTCTCGGTTCATCTACTCCTAGAAGTAAGTTGTAAGGTTTGAAGTCAAGAAGCGAGGCCGCTGATTAAGCCGCGTTTGCCGTCTGTCACAGGACCCGTGATCATCGATGAACTCACTGCCTAGTGGAGGTTCCGCTCCATTTTTGTGGCTCTTCGCGTGGGCGAGTCAAGTGCCGGCAGTAGCCAATAAATGGAGTTCCTGATCGAGGAGATCTTCATCTAGATTCTCGAGCCATTGCACAGCGGATCATATCGAGTGAGCCCTGAAAAGGCTGAAATGAGTTGTGATGGGCCAAGTCCCGAAAGAGAAGGAGGATAGAGAGAATATTCTCCGAACGGCACGCATAATCCAATAGTGGCTCCGATCTATTGCTCCAGCGTCCCCCGTCTTGGCTCACGGAGCATCGCCGTTACGGCACGGTGCTTGGCAATCCGAATGGGAGCAGTTCCAGAAAGATCGGTCTTTGGCCAGTCCGGAGGACGGGATGCGGAAGTGCATACCCGGACGTTCTGTATCTGATACGAAGGCTGCGGGCACCCGTAATCAAAATGAGGACTTGGGATTTCTCCCCTAGGCCGTTTCGAACGTGGCCACGGCAGTGGGATGCCGATATTTTCTGGTTGGGACGTGGAACATGACGCAGGGTAGAATTTCTGCCGCGCCCAGATCATCAGTCGTCAGCCCCCAGTTTGGATCTTGATACTACCAAAATGCGGGATGATGGTTGAGACAATTCTTAACTTATTGGGCAGAAGTTACGGATACCGCTGGGTCATCTCCTTTTAATCAGTCTGTGGCCCATGCCGTGGGCAGCGTGTGCCAAGCAAATGGGATATACTTTGACCACGACGGGACGAACTGCAACCATGACGCGGCTCATGTGTGCCGTTTCCTTTTGTTTCACCAAAGCTCAGCCCCAGAGCCCGTTCAGGTCGCCCCCCTGATGGCCCTGGTTCGTCGAGAAGATTTGATCTTAAGTTTTTGCAGGGTAGGGATGCTGAGGTAAAGCTGTCCAACAAGCAGTACCCCTGACAAAACTACCGGGGGTAAAGAGAATGGTCTGGCGGCCGGGCCCCGATAGCGCCACCATGTACTCTATTTCATACCTCTAATACCCATTCGGGACGGCATTTGGGTGAAGCGAGCTCGCTCTTGAGCCCACTGTCTGTGTTGTTCTTTTGATTAACACGGCGTCAGAATCCCGGGTGCAGAGGGTTCGATTTTCATGATTCGTCAAGCAGCCACTTGACAGAGCACCTGTTCCGTTCAATTTCCCACAAACGATGGGATGAATCGTGGGGTCGCTGGCGGAAGCGGCGTGGATGCTGCAAATGGCGAATCGAGCAGAGGAGTCGAGGTAAGGCTGCTGGGCCCATTGGTGGAGGAGGTTAAGGGGAATCGGAGGAGGGATTCCTTTTATCATCCCATAAGGGCCCTTTTTCTCGAAGAAATACAAGCTTGTTGTTTTTCCTGTTCATTCCATCTTTCCATTCCGGTGTCTCTCGTTTTCTTTTGCTCTTCCAGTCCTCGACGTTTCTGTCGGTTTTCACTCGTTCAAAATCTACAAACATGAAGTTCACTTCCTTTTCACTCCTTGCGCTGGGCGCTCTTATCACGGAACCGGCGAACGCCCAGCTGTCCGGCACCGTTGGACCTACCACCAAGGCCGCTACCAAGGCCGCCAAGAAGACATGCAACATCACCAGCTACGGTGCCAAGACCGGTGCTACCGGAGACATCGGCGCGGCCCTCAAGTCCGCTTGGGACGCCTGCAAGACCGGAGGTGAGATCCTCATCCCCGCCGGCGAATGGGGTCTCGGCACTTGGCAGACTCTCTCCGGCGGAACTGGTGTCTCCATTAACCTGGAGGGTACCATCTACCGCACTGGAACTGCTGGCGGCCACATGATCATCGTCCAGAAGTCGACCGATGTCGAGTTCTACAGCGGCAACTCCAAGGGTGCCATGCAGGGCTATGGATATGAGTTCCACAAGCGTAAGCCTTTCCCATTCCAACTAGATTGTCGCATACTGACAATAAGCCAGAGGGAAGCGGCGTCTACGGACCTCGTCTCCTGAGATTCGTCTCTGTCACCGACTTCAGCGTTCATGACATCGCCCTCGTCGACTCACCGGCCTTCCACTTCGTCATGGACACTGTCACCAACGGAGAGGTCTACAACATGATTGTTCGTGGTGGAAACCAGGGTGGTCTTGATGGCTTCGACTTGATGGCTGCCAAGAACGTGCACGTTCACGACGTCGCCGTCACCAACAAGGACGAGTGCGTCACTGTCAAGAACAAGTCCAGCAACATTCTCATCGAGAACGTCTTCTGCAACTGGTCTGGTGGCTGCGGCATCGGCTCCCTGGGTGTTGGCACTGGTACGTTCAAGCTTCGAGAGGACTCGCTCAGTGACGATGCAACTACTAACAAGACTTGTCCGTAGCAATCTCCGACATCCACTACCGCAACGTCTACACCTCCAACTCCAACCAGATGCTCATGATCAAGAACAACGGTGGTGATGGTGCCTTCCAGAACGCCAAGTTTGAGAACTTCATCGGTCACGGCAACGCCTACTCCCTCAAGATCGACTCCGCATGGACCGGCCAAAGCAAGGTCGCCGGCAACGGTGTCGAGTACAAGAACCTGACCTTTTCCAACTGGAAGGGTACTGCCGCCAACGGTGCCGCTCGCGGTCCCGTGGTCGCCCTCTGCGCTGCCGCCGTCCCTTGCGAGAACATTGACGTGTCCGGCATCAACATCTGGACCGAGTCTGGTTCCTCCATCGTCGACAAGTGCAACAACGCCTTCGGCACCGGTCACTGCATGCGCACCGGCTCTGGAACCTACACCAGCACCGCTACCACCAAGACCGTTGCCAGCTACTCTGCTGCCACCATGCCCGGCCTCGTCACCGCCGGACTCGGTATCACCAAGTCCATCGATATCCCCGCCATCCCCACCACCTTCTACCCTGGTGCTAAGCCCGCCAGTGCTCTTGCTGGCGCCGCTTAAGCGCGAAAAGTTCATGAACATGAAGCAACTAGGATCCGGCTCGACAAGAACGAGCTGATCTCATTTTCCTGTACATAGTTACTGTTGGTTCACGGGGTCGTATACGACAAATAGTGGTAGCAATTATCACTCGTCTGTTGGTGATCCTATTGCTTGTTCTTCTTGTTGTTCTATCTTACATTGTAGGCAGGAGTCGGTCGAAGTAGGTAGTGACGGCCTGGGTGGTTGCCCCACCTTTATCCGGCCGTGATGACTAAGCCAGTTGTCCCACTTCGCCCAGGGCAGGTGCCAGCCAGCCCATGGTACCTGCCTATTACTCCTTATCAGCCTTTGCTGTTCCAACAGTTACTTAATCCAATCAAGTAAATATGTTTGGAAAAGCCAAGCTGCGCACATATCATTCGGGAAATGAATATCAATTTTCTCTGGCGTCTACCACTTGACTCGATGCCTGATGGGGTGGTTTAGATTCATTCTACTCTAATCTTCGACTGGTCACTGCATTATTGACTCCCGACCTGTGACTTGATCCAATCTTCGTCCAAGTGACCCATGGTGACTGACTTCGTTTCCTTGACGCCCACAAACTCTCTCAGCTTTCCCCTAAGAAGGTACGTTGGTGTACAGCTCCAAGCGTGACAGAAACTGTTGTTTCGAGCATCGCCGTAGGGACTTGCCCGAGGATCTTCGGGGTTGTAGCACTCCCAAAAGGTGTCTGCACCGGCGCGGACCATACCTCCCCAGTAACTGGCCATGATCTTCACGCACTTCTCGTACAAGCCCACGGTAGCGAGGGCATCGCACACATGGTGCCATAGGTAGGGGGTCAGAGGCTTGAGAGCATCGGGGTGTCTAAGTGTGTTGAGCAGAGCCGTGCGGGCGATGTCCTGGGGGAAGGCCTCTGCAAGAATAAGCCAAGACGCCGACGCGAAGCTAACCTGTGCCTTGGGACCAGACACGAAGACGTTATCTGGAGAAAGGAACACCTTCGCTGCTTCGGTCATTTGGGCCACGAGGTCCACAAAAGGGGCCTCCTTGCCGAGGACCGTGGCCAAGGAGTTAGCTGCTTTCAGACAATACAGCAGGACTCCGTGTAGTCCTGCGCTATGTTCCAGCCCAGGCTGCCAGTCAAGGAACTTCCATCCTTCGCCCTTGGACTCATCGAACGCGTGAGTGGTAGCATCAAGATGCGTGAGTGCCCGCTTCACGCAGCCGAGGACGGTGGGCCAAAGGCTATGACCGGCAGCTTTGTCGCCCGATGCCACCACATAGTCGTACGTAATGGCGGCGAATAGCGCGTCGTAGTCTACAATGTAGTCAGTCGAAGGCGTGAGCTGAGGCTGCTCAAAGATGCAAGCTGGCACGGAGTCATCTTCGCGGACCACGGCAGCGAACTGGAAGATGCAGCGCTTTACGAGGTTGAAGTCCCGGAAGGTGCTGTAGTTTGCAAGCGCTTGAAGCCGAAGATCTCCGCTCCAGAGCCGACGATCCCTTCGAGGCCCGTCCTCAAAGACGGTTTGCATGCAATCTCTCAGTGTCGATATGCTAACGTGGTCGATCTGCTGGAGGAGAGAGTCGTTAAACTGCGGAGCCTCCAGGGAGTGGTTCTGGCTGATGGCGCTAACACATTGGCATTTGACGTCCGAAAATGTGACCTTGTATTTGGGTGAGGTGTCGATGACTTCAACTCGAAGGAAGCGGAAAGAATATCGTCGAGATAGAGAGACCTCCTCAGGACACGTGTCGATATTGATGGTTTCATCCGGAAGCCAGCTGGTGCTAATCCATGTTTCAACATTTTCCATCCCGAGAGTCACGTCCAAAGGAGATTCGCCAAACGTGAGGCGCAACCTGCATGGGGCGTCCATGTGTGAGCCCCGGGACTCTAGTCTCATCGAGACATATCCCACCATGTGAATACCAAAGTCGAGAATGAAGTCATCTCCTTTCCCCCAAGTCTTGGACGGTAATTTGTCAATTGGGTATTCCGCAGGCGTGGCACGGACACCAAAGTACTGGCTCTCGTCTTTGTCGAATTTGATGACGCGTTGAGGAGTTCGTGTCCATCGCTGCAGCTGTGGGCACAGATCATTGGCGATATTTTCAAAGTCTCGATTCCAGCGCGTCGGGAGCACGCTCTCGACCATATCCTCGGGAGCATCTGCCATGGTGGGTGGATGACTTGGAGTCGACAAGGAAGTAGAGACTATTGTAGCACCCGGGAGGACAAGGCGCGTGATTGGGGGCTGAACATGAACTTGAGATTTGTGTTTGTCTGTGGTTGCTAGCAGAACATGGGTTTGGGTCCAGGTCGTTGGAGGAGCTTGGGGGATGCTTTTGAAGACGCCACGATCCCAAACAGAATCCATAAACGCTTCGGTGTGACAACCACCCGAGAAGGGTAATCGAAAGCACCGAAGCTCGAGAGGAGGGGAATGTGGCTGACGCTTCTGATTGCTCAATCGGGACTTTTTAGACCCATGGCGATGTCGGCGTGGAGACCATTTCTGGGGCCGGTGCGGGGATATACCGAGGAAGAGTCAGGATTCATGACAAGCTGAATCGACAAGCGTCTGGAACTCCAATGGAACAGGTCAGCTGGACGGAGAAGAGGGTTCAACAACGGTAGAACTACGGATGAGCTGCGGGTGGACTAGAATCGTCTTCGTCCCGTGAGGTCCTTGTTCAGGTTTTGCAAAGTCTTTGACTCCTTGGCGGCATGATTAGACCGAGGAACGGCCCCGAGCTAGAAGAGGCTCCTTTGCGCAAATGCCGAGCTGCCACAAGTTCACACCGCGTCTGCTTTCTGGAACTGTCGAGATCAAGGGCATGTCGTATTCTATGCTGGACTACGGTTGTTGTTGTTGTTGTCGGCCGTCTCAAGAAATGAGAAGCATATTCAAATACTTAATACAACTTCAACCACAGCAACCGCCCAGATCCCCAGAGACACGGAGCAAACAGCGATTCTGATGATGCTCGGGTGAACCCCCCGCATCCTTTATCTGCATTTTCATGCACCAGCCGGGATATAGCCGTGTCTGTGGGGTCCCCAGACTGCACTACCGAAACGGCGGGTCACTGACATCTTTGGCCCAGGCCAGAGTCCATGTCCAGACTTGACTGCGACTGGCATCGGCACCAAGTCCAAGTTCATCTCATGGCTAAGTCGTACTGTCACTCTTTGGGTTAGCAGTCTTTGGATCATAGCCAACCAAAGCCCCCAGGTTATTCTTCGGGTCATAGACTGACTCAGGAGCGCCAACCGCGTGCGCTATTGACAACCACCCTTGGTCAACACTTGCCGGCAACATGGCCGAACCATCAGTGAAACGCAATGCTACGGCTACCACAATGCAAGCAGCATCTGACAATAGCGTTGACCGGCCCCTCCCCCGCAAGAGTCAACCAAATGGTTGGGTGAGGAGGCGGGTCTGCCTTGAGAACGATCACGCCTGGCCTCGGACCTGACGAGGAATGCCACCACGAAGAAAGGGGGCTTGCACTATAGACTGTGGGCTAGTGTCGGCCGATCATTGAGACGACGTTGATCCGAAGAAGTGCCTACAACTGCCCCCATCTGAAAGGCTCCTGAAAAGTCCTGGACAATAAGAGTCGGGGACATTCCTGGCTTTGTTGCACTTTGCCCCAGTTCCCCAGTCGCGAACTCCTCAACTTCCCCAGATCGTCGGTGCTTTCCCCAGATTTTCTCTCAACTTTAAGTTGTTCGGCCCGACGTTTTTCAACTCCTTCGATTATTCCTCACCCAAAGTTGACAATAGTGGCGGTCATGGACGACAAACACCTCGAGGCGCACCCAACGTCCATCGTCGACAAGGACGACATCGCCGCGGCAAAGGGCGAGCACGTAGAGGAGATTGGCCACGCCGCGACGGCAGAAGATCACGAGGAAACTATTTTCCAAGCCATCAAGAACCAGCCGTGGGCGTTTGCGTGGTGTATCTATGCCATCTATGTCCTCATCCTCACGAGCTTTGATAACCAGGCGGGTGGAACGGTCATTGGAATCCCTCAGTTCCGCAAGGATTTCGGTTCCGAATTCAATGGCAACTATGTTCTCCCCGCCAAGTGGCAATCGGCTTACAGCGGAGCACCTGTCGCCTCGTATGTGCACTATCCCTACAGCTTTCGGGCATGAGCTAACTTCACTCTTTATCACAGTGCCGTCGTTGGATCCCTCGGTGCTGGCTGGGTGGCTGACCGCATCGGCCGCAAGTGGACCTACTTCATCAGTTTCTGTTTACTATTTGCCGGCATCACTTTAGAGGTAGTGGCCACTACCAACGAGATCTTCTTCGCGGGCAAGTTTGTTGCCGGATTCCCCATTGGCGCTTTCATCACAGTCAGCATGACATACATTGGCGAGATCGCGCCCTTGGCTCTTCGCGGCATCTTGACCGCCGCTGCGGCCATCGCCTTCACAATTGGCCCATTTATCGTCTCTCTGGTTGTCAACGAGACTGGAACTCGAACCGACCGCTGGGCTTATCGCACGATCTTTGTGTCGCAGTATGGCGTTAGCGGAGTTGGTGCTCTATTGCTGTTCTTCATGCCGGAATCGCCATGGTGGTTGGTCAATCAGGGCAAGATACAGAAGGCTGCAAAATCTCTAAGTCGTCTTGGCTACGATGCCGTCCAGGTCGAGAAGCGTCTTTCTATCATTACTCTCACCCTCGCTGAGGTTCGCAAGGAGACCGACGGCGCCAGTTTTGCCGAGTGCTTCCGCAAGTCCAACCTTCGCCGCACCATCATCTCTGTCGCGCCTTTAAGCATCCAGGCTCTATGCGGTACGTTCTTCGTGTCGTATCACAGTTCTCCCTTTGACTGATTCTGTATAGGTGTATTCTTTGTTGCATCGTACTCTACCTACTACCAGCAATTGGCCGGATACAGCACCAAGGAGAGTTTCACGCTGGCTATTGTGCAGCAGGTCATGTCCATGCTCGGCAATGTCACCGCATGGTTCCTCATCGATCGAGTTGGTCGCCGTGGTCTCACTCTCTGGGGAATGTGCACCCTGACAGTCCTTCTCATGATTACTGGTGGTCTTGCGGTCGCTGCAACACCTGGTGCCGTCAAGGGAACCGTCGCACTGCTGCTGGTGTACTGCTATATCTACAACGTCACCATTGGAGCCACAGCATACTCCCTCTTGATCGAGGTTGCAACTTCGCGTCTCCGTGCTAAGACTGCTTCTATGGCACTGGCTCTGCAAAACAGTCTCTTCGTAAGTCGGATCCTGTTAGCCAAGGTCATTCTTGGTGTGCAAACTGACACCTCTCTTCCAGACCATGTGGGCGTTTGTTATCCCCTTCCTTTTCAACCCCGACCAAGCCAACCTCGGTGCCAAGGTTGCCTTCATCTTCGGTGGCCTTTCCATTTTGTCCACTGTCTACCTCTGGTTTTACCAACCCGAGGTTGCTGGCCGGTCTTACGAGGAACTTGATGAGATGTTCATCAAGCAGGTCCCAACACGCAAGTTCAAGGGCTATAAGACAGAAGTGCAGGAGAAGAGCCAGAGGGCGGTTGCGGAACAGCAATGATCTGTCATACAGTTCGTTGATCCTTGACCTGGCTAATCTAAGATGGTTTCGGGAGGGAGCACCGTAGTTGGCCGACGGTTGATTTATCTTTGGAAACGCTACATGAACAGGCGGGAAGCGTTATATATTGACAAGAGAAATAGTACTGAATGGAACTCTTCAAGAACACACGAGTTGAAGCTTCTGGTGCAATTGACACCAAACGTGCCCCAGTGGAAAATGTATGTGAGGCAGCTGCCAATACTGAGCAACGTCCAAGAGACACGTATGTAACGATGGTTGCAGGTTACCCACCAATACATCAGGAGCAAAGCTGATTCATCTTCCACCGGCATACGCAGGCGGAGTTAAAGCCACTTATCGACTGAAGTCGCTCTACAACACCTTAAGTGGAAGCGTCTTCAAATCATTGCTGCAGCCAGTGTCGCTAGTCTAAAACGAATACTGATAGATTCCTTGTCAAATTTAGCCTCGGAGCTCTCTGCTCTCCTGGCGCTGGAGATCTTTCACGGATCACGCCGAACTGCGTCATCCCAGACAATGATACTTACTCGGAAATTCCTGCTCACTTCCTCACGTTGCCCTCCCTGCGCCATCTCGGATACAAGGCCAAAGCCGGTACCAGTTGATGTGCCTAGCAGCTTGTCAGATATCGTTCTGGTCCATCTATGCCTGCCGTCTCGTTGGAATGAGATGGCTTGAATTGCTTATAGAAACCCCACTATCCTGTGTCGCCGGCTCTTATAAGACTGTGCGTGTGCCGCGGGAGCGACGATATCTCACTGTCCTAATCTACTTGGCAAATGAGAACCATTGACAAATGACGATGTCTATATGTACTGAATACGCAAGTCACATTCAAAAGGGTATGATCCGGGGATCTTCCATTGAGAAGAATTTTGCATCGGGACCTCAGGACGGAGACGTATTCCTTCGCGCTCAGTGTGGCTTGCACACGTGCATGAATGGCTTTCGGAAGGTTGGTGATGGCATCATCTCTGGAATCTCCACTTTTATCCACACGTTATAGAAATACCTTAGATCTGGAAAGATTAAACGAACTGAAATGACTTGGCGATCATCGGATGAAGTCACTTCAACATGCACGACAATTAGCATCTCAGTATCCTAATAAGAAAGCTGTCACATTGGTTGGAAGATTTGCCTTGGAAGTTGGCACCACTATACGTGTGTTTCATACGGATCCTAGTAATTGCTCAGAGTGTCAGGCGGGGGGGGATGGAGCCTGTACAAATAGATGCAGATTCATGAGAGACTGAGCGTGCATCTGTATCGGTACGGAAACCTTTGTGTAAACAAGGTTTTCTCGGTTGTCTAGTAGCCAAGAGTAAGACCCAGCTTGCCCGCCATGTGCTTGCTGTGCTCGAAGATGTCATCCGAATGCCCGGGAGTGGAGTCGCGAGTTCAGTCTAAGACTATCCGTAAGGAAATGCCATTGCCACACTGCGAGTGCGGCGGTCCGCGATGTTGGATCTGGGGGCGGAGACCACACGTGGTAGCGTCTCTGGATCCGCGGTTTTGCGCTGACCCAGTTGCGCAGCTAACCAGCCCGTTGATAATCATTTCCGCTCTCAATGCGGGAGCCGACGGGGATGCTAGACATATCCCGTTCTCGCATACTGCGTCGAAGGTGTCACATTGTCAAGTCCCCGGTCCGTAAGTATTATTCTTTCTGATAATGATCACTTGGATCTTCTGTATCGGGAATCGAGGGATCAGTCTTGCGCGCGCAAAGACTCAATTGTGAATAAATGGCTGTCGGAGGACAGCGAAGGAGCCAAGCTGACAAGTTGTGAGCCAGGCTCAGTTTCGCATTGGCGTCGTCGGAGCTCACCTTAAGCTTATCATCGGAGGCACTTCACGTGCCTGTAAATGGTACAGAGTCTCCAGGTTCCCAGCCAACAGACTCAATTGGAATGGCGGAGCCGACCGAAGTTGAAAGGCGAAAGGCATGGCACTTTTGTGTTGGGCCAATCTCGACAACAGAGTCGCCGCGCTCGTTGACTGGATTGGGCACACAGATACGACGGCTGCAACTCGCAACCTAACAGGCCCGGCAACCTTGCTCATGTTCCCCAGGGTGGCGTGGAGCACATCCTCTGCCCGCCCTGCACCCTTAGTCCGCGCACTAAGACGCGGATGCTGAAGCATGGGAGTGAGAGGAGGGGAGGAGGGGGGGAGGGATGCTAGATGCGCCTAGGCCCAGGCCCTTTTGTGTGGTCAACTTGGTGCCTGTGCTCAAGGTGTTCTCGGGAACTTGGGAGTTCTCGTCTGGCAACGTCAGTCTGATAGATGATGATACATCCCTAAATTCTGTCTTCTCGACCTTATCCGACGACAAAGGGCCAGACGAAGAACTGAGGACAGTGATAGAGAGGGCCGGGGAAAGCCCAAGATTGACATGCTGCCGACACCAACTATCTGTCATCCTCCGACAACCTGCACATGCGCTGTCGACTTGATCGCAAGCTTCATTCGCAATGGTGCGGTCCGGTCCAGGAATTCGACGTTTAGGGCTCGCTTACAGCTTGCAATCGCGAATGACAGGGCCAGCTCGCCAATCTTGACTTTTTATTTCGCCTCATTGCTTCAGCACTGCACGCGGCGGAAGGGGAGATTACTGAGAGACCAATTGAGCATCCGCATCCTTACGAACTCGAAGCGAATACAGTGATTAGCAGGGGTTGCTCTTATCGCTGGTCTTACCATACTCCATCGTAAAGTGAGCAGCCATGGGCAGCGGCTCAAGATGCTGTGCCTCAATTAAGCATCAGACATTGATACCTACTCACCTAGCGGCCCTTTCGATCCATGGTTTTGGGGGCGCCGCGGCGGCTGATGCAGCTATCGCCAGCCAGTCCCGATTCTCCGCATGTCTCCGTGTCTCTCTGACAGCTTGGGGGTCACTTCGCGCGCCTCTTAGGGTCTTGGGCGTCGGCCCCTTGGCCATGTTTGCGCCCAGCAGAGCGGAAGGATCTGCCACACCTTCCATCGTACAGAAACAGGCCCGGTCTTGGGCCTATCAGGGACCCCTTAATGATCTTAGTCAAAGACACAAAACGCCATCCCCGGGAACCACTGCTCCGGCATGTTTGACGGTGCCGGAGTCTCAAGTCCTTCAAATGACAGTAGTCTGCACTCCGTACTTTGTCTGAGTACCTACGAGTCTACATGCTCGCTGGCCGGTGCTAGGTACTGCTTGGCCATGATTCCTGACAAGAGAAGAAACGAGCAGATCCCATCATGGGATGGTTCAAGGGCCATGATTCGTGCGTGGACTCGGCCGACGCGTCTCGCCCATGAGTCCAGCCAGTCTCGATCCTTGCTGGAACCTCCAATTGTTTGTCCAACGAACTCGGCAACCATTCACACCCACACGCTAGCCCTGCCCTTTTGCTAGACCATCTTTCCCACGTCCAGTCCCGTCTCTCCAATCTCAGTCGACTCCACCGCAAGTATCCATCGTTCCATTAACCTTCCAGAACCGGAAGCACGCCGTTAGCTTTGCCACTCACGTCGAGAGCTAAAGGTCTTGGCCCGGCTCTGATCGAAAGTCTGTGCCGTTGGGTGCGGCGACTATCCCTGTCCAGCCACTGTCAAAGTGCCAAGAAAATAAGATAAAAAACACATTCCTTATCGCAAGCACACCGAGCAACAATCGAAGGGTTCCCAACTTCCCAAGAGTAAGACTAAACTTTTTGATTAACCCAACCGGTATCTTAACCCCGTCGACTTAGAGTCTCAGTGGAACTTGGCATACGCGAGTGGATTTGGTATCGATTACTTGACAGTAACTTTTCCCGTCACCACACCGTCTATCTGGCCAAAGTACCTACCTACCTTGGCCAGCAATAGCTTCATCAAGGGTCCAAGACTTGAGAGAGTATCCGTAGCGTCATACTGCCAGGTAACAATACCAAGAATCGCTGCTGATAGACCCTAGAGTATCCGTATGGACAGCCAGTCTGTCACTCCATGAGAGCCGTCAGCGGCCGGCCCACACACAGACTGGGCGGCTTGCCACTCTCTCGTCTGTCCGTCCCGAGAGATATCGTCTTACTCTTCCAACCTGCTCCAATCTCGTCCCTGATTCTCGCTTTGGCGTCCTCCCTCCCACACTCCCTTGCTACCCTGGCCACCCAGTATCTCTGGTGCAGCAGTTGTTCGTCAATCCCACACCCGTGAACCCTGTCGCCCATCCCATCCCGCACCCCTCGTTGGCTAGCCGTTCGTCCAGAATTTGGGACAATCCACCGAGATGGGCACCGAACCGCATGAGGGTTTCCTCCACACCAAAAGGGCGGCGAACTCCATCCCGACCTGGTTGCTGATAAGGTCGACGAGTCGTAGGCATTGCTTTACTTGCCTAGCCTAGCCTCGGCACTACTTTCGGATTTCTTGATCGTCGCACTGGGGCTTTTTAAAGAGGGCTTCCCCTCGAGGCTCGTCTATTGTAAGGGTCTTGTGTCGTGCAGCTGCTTCTCAAGTTCCTCGCCGTCAACCTCCCCAAAGTACGCCAGGGCGCCTTCAACTGTGTGGCCCACGGTCTCCTCGTTTGGTAGACCATTGAAAGAACTGGTTGTCAAGTTGCTCAACGCTTCTTTCAGCCCTACCTTTCCCTCCATCCTTTCCTCTCTTCGTCGGCGCGCTTTCAAGAAGCATATCCTTCAGCCATGTCTGCCCAGGTCACCGAGGTCAACCAGACCACCACCACGGCCGGTAGCACGCCACCCCGTCGCAACTCAGACCCGGCGCTGGAAATCCACAACCAGCACCAGCATCAACATCTGCACCACAGTGCTCGTGTTGATGCCAAGGGTCACGACGACAACGTAACCTACACCAGGACCGGAGAGACGACCGTTCCGCACCAGAGCCACCTCCACGAGCACTCCGTTGAGCCCCATGACATTGAGAAGGGCGACAAGCTCAGCGGACCCCCTGATTACGATGGCGAGAAGACTGGCGTCGTGGCCTCCAACGATGAGGAGGAGAAGAAGCCCTCCAAGTTCAAAACCCTCTACCGGAAGTACAAGTGGGTTTTCCACATCTTCCTCTTCTGCCTCTTCACCGGCTGGTGGATTGCCTCGCTCATCGAGCACCGCAATGACAAGAACTGGGTCATTCCGTTCCTTGTCTGGCTCTGCATTTCCCTCCGCCTCCTCTTCTTCTACATCCCGAGCTCGT